ATTGAAAATATCTGTCTGCATTCTTCTTTTATTATGTCTCTGGCTTCAAATCATAGTATTTCTGGTTCTTGGTCTATTATGTTTAGTCGTGCAAATATGTTTCTTATGTTGTCAATAAATTATGTTGAGATGTTATTTAGATCATATTTTGGTATAATCACTGGTTTTGTTTTCTTCTTGAGTCTTCCTCTTATTTTTGATATCAATAATCCATTATCTGCACCACAGTCGGCGCCTGGGCTAGTCTTGGCCACCGGTATAAAGACCCGCCATCTTTTACTTCCATTTATATAATCTATTTGATTTTTGTGTTGACCATTTGGTGATGTCCATGTGTATAGCCCTCTTTCTGGTTGTATGAAAAATGTGTTTGCAATGAATAGGTTATTGCTTCACAAAATCTATCAGACAGTCACCTGCTTTGTTTCTTTTGCCTAATCCAAATCTGCCTATTGTTTTTGATTTTTCTTTGCTTCCATCTTTTGCATTCCAGTCTCCAATGATCAGCTTGACATCCTGTCATGTTGTGCTGTCATTTTTTTCCTGTACTCCTTCATAGAATCTATCAATTTCTTCTTGTTCTGCCTCTGTGGTTGGTGCATATACTTGAATTATGGTGATATTCATAGGTTTACCATGGAACCTTACTGAAATGATTTGGTCTGATTTTGCATTGTATCTTCAGACTGCTTTTGCCACATCTTTTCTTATTATGCAACCCACCCCATTTCTTCTGATCTTTTCATTCCCTGAGTAGAATAGTGTGTAATTGTCTGATTCAAAGTGGCCCATTCCTGTCCATTTTAACTCATTCACCCAGTATTGCTATGTTCATGTGTTGCATTTCCATTTTTGCTATGTCTACCTTCCCTTGGATCATGCTTCTCATATTCCATGTCCCTATTTTATGCATAATGCTGCTTTTGGATGCCATTTGCCTTTCTAAGGGTATTTGTCTTGGCACCTTTCTTATGCCAAAGGAGCATCTGTTATTTGTCTTGGCATCCTTCTTATGACAAAGGAGTGCACCAGGGAATTCCAGAAGAAAATTACCATGTGCTTTATAGACTATAGCAAAACTTTTGACTAATTAGAGCATGGAAAACTATGGATTGATCTTAATGAAATGGAGGTACCATTACATTTGATTGTCCTGGTGCATTAAATGTATGCAAAAAACACATGCAGAGAAGCTTAAGACTTGGAGGAAGGAGAAGAGAAGATTGGAGGAAGGAATAGCAATAATCTAGGATATGCAGGTGACACCATAATATTAGCAGAAAACAAC